GATTGGTTAATCACTATTTTACGAGCTCACATGTAATATTATAGAATTTTTCTCTTGGTTTATCTCTTTTAATACTTTAATTACCTTATTATATTTAATATCTATGAATTAGAGATACAAATAGATATCCGTTCCCAATTCCGATTCGAAGGAAATAATATGAGATAGGATATAGGATGAGTGATATATTATCCGGCACTACCCGTACCTGGCTCCAAATTTAAAAAAAAATATGGGTTAGGATATGCGAATGTCATAATCCAACCGTACCCGTCTATTTTCACCCCTAGGTTCGACTAGATAGAGCGGATAGCCTTTTATTAATTATATAGTTGTTGGTTTTTTAAAGAACCGTATATGTATCTTTTTTTAATAAAAATACAAATAGTATAGGTACCAGTTTTTATCTAGAAGCGATACCTATAAGTTCTTGAAAGTGTCAGTTTTTTTTTCTTCCCATAGAGATAAGATACAGCCAATAGATGCCAGTTTTATATGAACCGACTACTATTAATGTTTCTATACTAGTGTATATTATGAATTTCAAAATTTTGAGTGCATGTGTATCGACTGTGTATTCATTTCATCATAGTCTCAATTTAGTATCTTTTCCTTAATTAATTTAGAAGATTGGAATTAATAAATACCAAGTTGTGCTCGGTCTTGAGGTTATATATAGTTTGTCCGCTGTTCTTGATAAAGCCAAACCAATGATGAAGTAGTTTCTTTTTTCTTGATTGACAAAATAGAGCAGCTCCTGAGCGGTAGAGCTCTCCTACTTTTGGTTTGGCTTTATCAAGAACAAAGACAACAAACGTCTAGTTTGCAGCATCACGGTGCAAATTAAGACATCCGTCGTCAGGTCTAGAGGGCTGGTTTGGTTCGTAATCTAAATTGGCCTTACCAATTTTTAACAATATCAAATTTTGACAAGTTTTGACACGACTAATTTTGAAAATGCAAAGTTATGTTTGGATTGAAGCCAAAATAGCCTAAGTTAACTATTGAAATGGCCTATTTTCTTATGCATGCCAAAATTTAGCTTCAAACCAAATAGACACTAAACACTATTGAAATTAATAAATATTGGTAAGCCGAATTTAGGCCTCAAACCAAACCAGCTCAGAATTAAGTAGAAAATCAGCGCACCTGTAGTGCGCTCGTTAGATTAGCCCAGTTGTATTATTTAGAGCTATTATATAATATAAGTTTAATAAAAATTTATTGTAATCCTCGCATAGTGGATGGACGGCTCTAGAATTGGCCCACATGCTAAACACGTGTTGGATTTTAATCAAATCAAGGGAAGCTAGAAAGTGGAGTTGATTAATTAAAAACACATTTTGTGGGTCCAACAACCAAAATCTATTGGATCTCCTACGGTTTATCTTCGCTTTCCCTTCCAGCCTCATCTACTCTCCATGGTCACGTTCGCACCTCGTGTGCTTCGTCCACCCGGCCAATCTCTCCACCCATACACACAAAAACACCGGCGCTCGTGAAATTAAACACGGGTGTGAAAAAGTAGCCATCTTTCACTTTGGATCTGGTCGTCGATGAGAGCAACAAACAGCTTCTTAATTTGGCTTGGCATCATCAAATCTCCTTTTCATTTTCTGTTTTTTCTCTTGTCAAGTCCGTCAAATGCATGTACAGAACTACTGAAGATGCAGGTGGTCGGCAGTTTTTTCTATGGTTGGTGAATTATCCCGTGTGTTATGACTTTTGTTCATGGGGCAACACGCAAGGATAGGCTTACTTCTGATCATATAGATTGATATATCCATATAAAATTAATTATTTGACTAATGAGATATAGCCAACACGATAGATAGACGACAATCTATTGTACTAGCTAGCTGCGTTGCTGCAAAATGAGGTGAATATGGATGCATTAGCTGTTTGTATTATGGGGCTATCTACAAATCTGGTGACAGTTTTTTTCAGCAAAAATCATTCAAATGCATACAACTATACTACGCATGCATATAATTACTGTCGCGTTTAGTCCCACATCAGTAATTGATGATGGAGAAGCATGACTTAAAATGTGGGTAGTCTTTTGAGTTGTGTAGGCTTAGGATCTAAAGTTGTGATTCTGGTTGGGTCTGTGGTAGAGCAGGTCCAATGTAACCTGAGTGACCTACGATTGGTGGGCTGAACTGTGCACTCTAACAATTACGCTGACTATACTGATTATGCTGTTAATTATATACCGAGCTCGAGCGAACAGCCTGTGAGCTTTTATACTAGTTAAACTGATTTGATTTTTTTCCTTTGCAAGGCATCAAATTTGATTCTATACTAGTTAAACTGATTTGATTTTTTACCTTTGCAAGGCATCAAATTTGATTTCTGTATATGAGGGAACCAGGCTGACCCACGATGCAAGCGAGGGGGGGAAGAAACGGAGTTAGAAGAAGACGTGGCTAGTCACTGACGGATGGGTCCATCATTTTTAAATAATTTTGTTTGCTGACTGGATATCCATCTAGGTAAAAAACCAGCCTAGTTTAGACCCAAAGGGGGTGAATTAGTAAAACGGTTTAAGAGTTGAGGGGGGAAGTTATCTGGTTTTGAAGTTTGAGGGGACGTAAAATGAACTTATATCCTTGTATATAATGATATAGCCCCTAGGAAGGGAATTGCGCGCGCTCTCGCCAGCAAAGGCATATGCATTGTCATAGCAGCATGCATGGCTGTCATCGTCACCTTCAACTTCAAGGTCAGAAACCACGACGCTGGTCACTCTGCAGCTGTAGGGGGATGGGGATACTTAGACAACTAACCAGCGATGGCACAGAATATTTCAAGGACATTCAGAACATTAGAGCAAGGTCAATAATACAAGGAGTGTACCTATGTAACATTCGAAAGTTTTTTTTAGGACTTTCAGATATAACTCTAATACCATTATATCGTAACTACTATATAAGTACTATGCAACAACTATATATTTTCAAAAAAAATTAAAACCCTACTATATAAGGACTATGTAAGTGGTATGTAACTGTCGAAAAAATTTATGAGTACAAGTGGCTAGCGCAGCTACCCCTCGAGCGGAGGGTCGCAGGTGATCCCTTTGCCAGCCGCATCTGATAAAGTCACACTATTTTCTCCCATCTCCATTGATAGCCCATCTCTATTGATAGCACGAATCTTGATGCATATCTGACCGTTGAAAAATAAAAGTTTTCTCCCTTATTAATTATCTATCGACAGTAATCTAGCAAAACCGTTCCTTTTTTATGTAATTAAATATGTTTTGTAATGTTTTTTTTCTCCCGTATTATCTGTCGATGATTTTCTCCCATCTCTATTGATAGCACGAATCTTGATGTATATCCCACCGTCGAAAAATGAAAGTTTTCTCCCCTATCATCTGTCGACAATAATCTACAAAACCGTTCTTTTTTATGAAATTAAATATGGTTTGTAATGTATTTTTCTCCACTTTTATCTATCAACAGTAATCTAGTAAAATCGTTCTTATTTATGTAATAAAATATGGTTTGTAATGTTATTTTAATACACATAAGATTTGTGCATCTTTGTATAAAGCATTGGGGTTTATTTACAAAGGCAAATCAAAGTAAGGCAAACAAAAGGGAAAAATAAAACACACACGGCTGAGAATCGTCCAGCAAAGATGAAGCCACTCAGGGCATTGCATCAGAATGTGATCAACGGTCTCTTCGGCTTGATCACAAAAGACACAGCTTCCTGGGTGCGGTATCTCAACCGGTCAGCAGTCCAGCATATCTCCGATGCACGACTATAGTTCGCAATGTGATCGAATGGGCCGGCCGGCAGGCTGGCACATAAACTTGTTTGGTTGAGGACTGACATCATCTCTAGATAGTCAATTGTTCTTTAAAATAAAAACTCTAGATAGTCAATGGACCACGTACTTGATACTAAATAGTTTGTTTGTTTTTTAAGAATGTACTACTTCCTCCGTTTCATAATGTAAGTCATTCTAACATTTTCCATATTCATATTGATGTTAATGAATCTAGATAGATATATATGTCTAGATTCATTAACATTAATATGAATGTGGGAAATGCTATAATGACTTATATTGTGAAATGGAGGGAGTACTATATTTGTTCATCATAATTGATCTCATATGCATCCCTCAAAAGTACATATTCAGTGAAGAAATGAAAAATAATAGTCATTCCACCTAATATATAGATCACCCATCCTACACTAGACGATTTGATTTCCTCCAGCCAAACATCCTATAGCTTAGATCTTCTAGACTTGCACACAGACTATTATCAAGTACTCCTACTGATTAAGAAAACCAACTTACTTAGAGCTGACCTCATGCAAATTGCGCGAATGGTTAGCTATTGTTTTTATCAGTCCACTTTACAGCTGATTATATTAATTAACCTCGTACCAATTTGCATGATTGACTCGTATTTCGGTCGGAGTTGGTAGTGTTGATTGGAAGTATCCGTAGAATCAATGTGCCTCGGAAGCTGTTTTTAGACTTCTGTACGTATTTTATATATGGAGTATAATGCATGTCCCGGCAACAATTTCTCCTCAATAAAAAAAAAATCCCAATTTGCACTATATTATAAGACAGTTTAATTAGCACTACATCTATTTTGGCTGTGTTTAGTTCCACGCCAAAATTGAAAGTTTGAAGAAATTGGAACGATGTGATGGAAAAGTTGAAAGTTTGTGTGTGTAGAAAAATTCAATGTGACGAAAAAGTTGAAAGTTTGAAGAAAAAAAGTTAGAATCTAAACAGAGCCTTTATACTTATAAGTCGCTTTGAACTTTTTTTTTTAAGTTTAACTTTTTTAAGTTTAATCAAATTTAAAGAAAAAATTAGTAACTTCTTAACATGAAATTAGCTGCATTAAATATAAATATTTTGATAATACGCTTGTTTTATGTTACAGATGTTGCTGTATTCTTTTATAAATTGAGTCAAACTTTAAAAGTTTGATTGGGAAAAAAATCAAAGTAACTTATAATCTGTGTGGATTTAGATAAAAATAGCTATAGGTCTAAATAAATTAGATAAAGCTAGAACCTTCTTCCCTGCTTATAATATGATGAAACGGACGGAGGGAGTAGTTTACTGTGTGTATCTCACACACCAGCAACTACATATAAATGAATTAACATCCATGGATTTGCACGAACTGCATCAGCTCGCAGAGTCTCAGGCTAAAACAGACAGAGAGAATCGAGAATGTGCACAGTGGTGACCAAGTCGCCGCCGGAGATCGTCCGGCCATCGGAGCCGGTGACGACGACGGCGGCGACCAGCAAGGTCATCTTCTCACCCTTGGACAGGCCTCTCGCCATCGTACCGATCGTAGTGTTGCAGGTGTTCGAGCATCCGATCCACGAGCCCGTGGAGACCATAAGGAGGGGGCTCTCCCGAGCACTGGTCCACTACTACCCTCTCGCCGGCCGCCTCGCCGGCGACGACTACGACGACGTGCACATCGACTGCACCGGCGAAGGCGTGACCTTCGTTGCCGCAAACGCCGACTGCACCGTCAAGGAGCTCGTCCGCGACATCGACTGCCGGTCACCCGACGCCGCGAAGGCGGTTATACGGGAGCTCATCGTCGACTACCCGGCGAATGGCTTCGGCCGCGCCGACCCTCTCGTCCTAATGCAGGTCACCGCCTTCGCCTGCGGTGGCTTCGTCGTCGGCGTGACGTGGAACCACGGCGCGGCCGATGGTTTCGGGATCGCGCAGTTTCTCCAAGCCGTCGGTGAGCTCGCCCGCGGGCTACCGACGCCGGCCGTTACGCCGGTGAGGTGGGACGGGTGGGCGCAGGCGGTGGCCCCTTCCACGGTCATGGCGTCCAAGCGGTTCATGTTCGGCGTCAAGGCGCCGACGAGGCTCGCCCTGCACAGCATCACCATCCCGGCGAGGACGATCGACGGCGTCCGAGGTGCCACGGCGTGCACGATGTTCGAGGCGGTGGCGGCGGCGCTGTGGCGGTGCCGCACCCGCGTGGTGATGTCCGACCCCGACGCCCCCACCGTGCTCGCCATCACGGTGAACTCTCGCAAGCACGTCGGCGTCAAGGACGGGTACTACGGCAACTGCGCCACCGTGCACATGGCGGTGGCGAGGAGCGGCGCGGTGGCGGGCGGCGACATGACGGAGGCGGTGAGGGCGATACGGCGCGCCAAGGAGGAGATACCGGAGAGGTTGAAGAAGGGGGACGTGATCGGCGAGCTGAGCAAGGAGCAGCTGGGTGGGTACGAGAGCGTGCTGCTGGTGACGTGCTGGAGGAATATCGGGTTCGAGGCGGTGGACTACGGCGGCGGGAGGACGGCGAGGGTGATGACGACGTACGAGCAGGGCCGGGTGCGGCCGATGTGCGTGGTGTGTTTGCCATGGCAAGGGGAGGAAGAGGAAGGAGCCCGGGTGCTGTCCGGCTGTGTCACGCCTCACCATGCCGACGCATTTCTCCGTGAAATAGCTACGCTCTGATCTGCACATAAATGATACACTCTTATAAGTCGTTTTACTTTTTTCCTTGACCAAGTTTAACCAAATTTATAAAAAAATATATTAATATTTTGCACACAAAACAAACATATTATCAAAATATACTCAATATTAGATTTTCTCAAACTAATTTGATATTTGAGTTGTTGCTAAATTTTTTTATAAACTTGGTCGAACTTGACTAGCAAAAATTTCAAACGACTATAATATTAAACGGAGAAGGAGAGTAATAATTTTATCAATTTATTTGTTATATATGCTGTTAATTAATCGTTGTTATTAATTATATGCTGTTAATTTGTTATATATACGATGTTGGTATATTCAGTCACGTATGAGTACTGAAATTTCAATTATTCTATGACGGTTCAGATCATGCCCTGATTTCTGCACCTATCTTCCGGGCCGTCATGGTTGAGGAAGAAACCGGAGGGTGTTCGTAGCAAACGCCCTAAGGTATAGATGGCCATAAAACCCGCCCGTCATAGTCTGGCCCAGGCACGGCCCGGTCGACATTACGTGCCGAGCTGTGCCGGCCCATGTGCTGCACCTCCGCCCAGGCACGGCCCACCAGCAGTCGGGCCGTGCCGTGCCGGCCCGAAGGCACGGGTGGTCTATCGTGCCCTATTTTAAATAAGTCTATTTCCCTCCCTCCTCTTTGGGATGACATATATATATATATATACATATAGAGAGAGCGCTAAATAAGTCTATTTTACGTCCCTATTCTTTGGAACGTGACATATAATGTGTCTATTTTTACTCCCTATTCCTTGTGTGCCGGGCCTGGCTTGCCGGCCCAACGTATCGGTGGGGAAGCCCAGACACGGCCCGGTGGTCGGGCCGGGCCAGCACGGGCCCGACCCCTATCGGGCCGTGCCGTGTTTGGGCCGGACCAAAATATCGTGCCGTGGGATGGGCCTTATGGCCATCTATGCCCTTAGGATCTAAAATATTGTAGCTGACAAGGAACTCCATGAGAGGTACATCGACGAGTTTATACAGCAGCTTGTTTCTCACGTCGCGGATAGCAGCTGCAACACTGCTGCCCGAGTTCCTTCCAGTTCTAGCTGAGACTATATTTTGTCTCTGTTACTGTAATTGATGTTATCGTAATGGCTACGCGCATCACATGTTGATGTAAAGAAGGCGTGGGGTTACTCTACCCTTTACATCGCTCGATCTTCCTTGTCCCCATGTATTGTTTACTCCAATAATTATTAATGGTTCAAGTTTCAGCCAGATTGAACTGTTTATTTTCTTTTGAACCCTGCGCAAAGTCGCCCCTGCAATGGCAGCTCGTGGGCGAAAACCTAGCCACCGCAGACCCGCTCCACCCAATCCCCCGTCTTTGCGCTGCTGGCCAACCACGCAGCGAGCCGAGATGATGGTGGTGAGGCCGGGTGGTGGTAGGGGAGAGATCTGGTGGAGTTCCGACACAAATCTCAAATCAAATAATAGTTTAGAATTTGTAGGATTGTAGAGAATGTTTTCTGTCAAATGTCAAGTACACAGTAAAAAAACAAACCTTCTTTTTCTGTCTTACAAAATTATGCAAAATTCATTTTCTTTATCACTAGTGAAGAAACCCTTTTCTAGGTGCCTCATAACCTATTTATATTGGTATTTCTCGACCCGTATTAGATAAGGGTGTACAAATAATGACAAAATTTTGTATGTATCCATGAGTTTTCACTGAATTTTATCTCATTCTCTACCCCTCCGAGCACTATTTTGGACGGTTTTGGGCTAGGCTGGATAACATGACATTCCAGTGTGGCAAAAAGAAATTTTAAAAAATAATGGGCCACCAATCAGTGCTCCATATCTCCTCCCATATTCTCTTCTACTTCCTTCCCATCCATTTCTATCTCTACCCTTGAAACAAAGCAGGGTGGCAGCGATAGCGGAGGAGGGGATCGAGCTTATCAGTGAGGAGCTCTCTCTCTCTCTCTCTTTGGTGGAGGCGGCTATAAGCTCAGGTCCGATGTGTTGGGAGGAGGCACCTGAAGGCTCAGGCTAGTTGCGGTGGTCGACAGTCAAAGCGGTCGAAGAAGTCTAGGGTGGTGGTGGAGACTGGTGTCACGCCCAGAAATTTAGCCCAAATTTTCAAACTATTCTGTGTATTAAATCCCTGTCCAGGACCAGCCAGGGCATACAAAACGACAAATTAATATGCAGATCCAAATGTAAATAAAGCGTAAATACTTACAGAAAAGGCACTTAGTCCTCACACCGAAAAGAAAGTAACAGTAGTGGAAAAGGCGATCCTAGCGGGGCTTCAGCTCCACTCCGCAGGCAAAACTCAATTGGGGTCTGAGCCTTGGTCCTCTAACTTCTTCATTAGTTCAGAAGCACTACATTTTTGAAAAGGAGGAACAATAGCAAGACTGAGTACAACCACCGTACTCAACAAGCCACACCAACGATGCAGACGTGCAAGAGAATATAAGGATGGTTTGTGGCTATTTGCATAAAGGCAGTTGTAAAACATTTTATTGAGCAAAAAAGTAAAACTGTTGATTAATTAAGGTAGCATTAAATCTCCACTGATCAACGCTACACCACGTTGAATAGGCCCAACCAACCCACCTGAACTACAGTGCATTTAGTCGATTTATTAAGTGTGAGACTAATCACAGTGAATCTGGTCGATCGCCCATAACTGCGGGCACGGCTATTCGAATAGTTTTACTCTGGCCAGTGGTGCACAACTGTACCCAGAAGACACAATCCACCGGCATGTCACCGCGTCATCATGCACCCATGATGAACACGTCACCATGTCGAGTGATTGTGACAAGACCCTTCATATAACCCCTCTGACCAATCGCACCACACCTCAGGTTTCACCCCCACTCCTCACAGGCAGCGGGCAATCCCCCCTCATGCCTAGGTGAATCCGGAAGCGACAAAGGCCGTCGCAGGACCCATCCCGCTCCATCACGCCCACCCTTGCCTGGATGCGTCAGCCAGAGAAAAACTATACTTCAAGTCAGGCAGTTACCCATTCCCTCTTGTGGCAAGCGCTGTAAGTCTTCTAGTGCATCCCGCGAACCGGTCCTTAATTGCCATAGGTGCGACCAGTAAAACCATGCACTCATGGCCCACCATTCAGTCACATTTTAGTTGGATGATTACGACCAATGAAACATGGTCTGGTGTCATGAGCATGTAGCTCGTTCTGATACTAAAAAGGTGTAATACTGCAATTATCCCATCGACTGAGCTAGTGGGAATTAAGCATGGCTAAGCATATAGTTCTAGCTAGGTCATCATAAGTAACACAAGCTAGGCGATTTATTACCCACGGTTGACAAAGGACAGATATCAAGTAATATGGCATAAGCGAGCAGATAGGTAATACCCGGATCCCATGTAATTAGGAAAACATGCATATTTATTTGCAAACGGTAAAACATTTGTAAAGTAGGATCAAAATGCTCAAGAGGAGTGGATGACTTGCCTTTCTTCTTCAAACGATCTTTTGAACTCTTTTCTTCGCGACCGCGGACTTCCGAAACGATGGAAACTACACGCTGGCACGCAAAACGAGGAAAAACTCTAATAAAAACCAAGGAAACAGTACATAAAAAGTAAACAAACATGTAGATCTCAATTTTAGATGAATTTTGCAAGTTGAATGGCCCAATTTTGAGCCATTAAATGAATTTATAAAATTATTAACCGAAATTATTGCGCAATTAAACTGATTTATGATGTCACAAGGGGGAAGGGGTGGCGCCGACAAGCGGGCCCCACCTGTCGGTGGCTGAAGGGAGGCAGGTGCATGGTGGACCGGGTCCACGCGTGCACTTGTCCGCGGGCGCACTACGTGGCAGCCACATGGCGGCCACGGCGGACGGGGAGGGCGAGGTGGCGCCGACGTGGCGCCACGAGGGCACCTTCGTGGGGCAACACGTGGACGACCCAGATCGGCCAGAGCAGCCGATCGGGCGGCCACGGGCAAGTGCGGCACGGCAAGGGGCCAGGTGGCCAGGGGCGAGCAGGGCAGCGGCAGCCGGCCAGAAGGCGGCGGCGCTCAGCCATATGGTCGCCGGTGGTGGGCGGCGGCGACACACACGGGAGGCGGCGTGGAAGGGAGAGGGGGCTCACCAAGAGGACGGGGATGGTGAGGCAAAGACGGGAAGGCGACTGACGACGAGGATTGGCGGCGGCGTTTCTCGGGTTGGGGTCGGGGACGGCGCTTCGGCGACTCCCGACCGCGGCAGAGGTGCGGCCGAGGGCCAGCGGGACCTGGGGAGCTAAGAGGAGGGGTTAGAGGAGGGATAGGCGTCGCGGCACGGCGAGGAACACCGGTGAGCACGGCGTTTGCGGCGGGACTCACCGGTGAGCGAGGGGAGACGGTTACGGTGGCTCCCGGCGGCGGAAGACGGCGTTCAGGCGTCGGCCAGGGAAGAACGTGACACGGCGAAGCCGGCGTGTCGCGACGGTGGCCGAGGCAGCACGGACGGTGGCGGCTCAGGTTGGCAGTGGAGAGGGCGGCTTGGTGGCCGATTGGAGGAACGAGGCGGTGGCCGGTGCTTGGCTTGGAGCGCTGAAGCCGACAGTGGCGGTGGCGCGGCATGGTGGTGGTTAGGGCGGCGGTGGTGGCCGGCTGAAGTCGGCAATGTGGTGGTGGAGCTCAGGTTGGTGGTGGGAGCAGCTTTTCGGGGGTGGAAAAGGAAAACGGAGTGGAGGCCGGGGTGGAGCTCAGCGGGGCGAAGCCGAGGGTGGTGGCGGCGCGGCCCGGCGGTGGCTAGGGCGGCGGCAGCGCACGACCGAGGGTCGCCGGCGAACGGTGGCGATGGGTAGCGGCGCGGGTGGGTGGTTTTGGGGCACGGGAGGGCTCGGGAAAATGGGGAAAAAGGGAGAGCAAGGTGCGGGGAGTCTTTTATAGGCTCGGAAAGGCGGGATCGAGCACGGGGGAGGCGGCAACCGGCGATGGAGTGGGGCGCCGGCGACGCGGGGTGGTGGCGACGGTTCGGCGCCGGTTCTTGCGGGGGAAGTAGGGGAGGAGGTGGGGGACATGGAGGGGGTCGTGCCTATGCCAGGCGGGAGCGCGCGGGGTGGAGGAGGTGGGCGGGGGAAGCGGCTTCGTGGGGTGGCTCGGGCGGCCATGGCGGTTGCCGGCCCAGGCTGGAGGAAGGGGATGACAGGTGGGACCGGCGAGAGGGAGAGGGGAGGCCGGTTGAGGGAGAGGAAATAGACTTTGGGGGGAAAGGGGGCTGAGCGGGCTGAGGGAGGGGAGGACTTGGGCCGAGCCCGAAAGGAAGGAAGTGGAATTTATTTGCTTTTGTTTTTATTTAAATTTATTGAATGTTCTTTGTGTGTTTATAAATACTTCTTGAGCTCCGAAAATTTACAAAAAAATCCGGTGAGTAAATTAAGGCATAAAGAATATTACAAAATATTCCCGGCCAATGATTTTTAAAGGAAATTTTTAATCCCCTCAATAATTCAGTTGATTAAATTGATTTAACTTTTATTTAATTTCTAGAAAATATATTATTTAATGATTTTTAATCCCGAACGAAAATCGGGGCGTTACAACTGGTCCCTCAGGGCGCCGGTGGTGGAGCGTGGTCGATAGGAGAATCCCAGGTTAGCAGCGGCCTCATATCCAAAGGAAAGGCGAAGGCAATCAGGCCATGTCTGTGCCGGCATGGGAGGAGGTCAAGCCACGTGCCAACATGGGATGAAGCGGAGCACTGGTTGCTATAGGGCCTGTTTGGAGAAGCTTAATATTCTGAGAAGCAGGTGCTGAGAAGTTAGCTGGTGAGAATCTGGAGAAGCTGTGAAACCCAGCTTCTGGCTTCTAGTTCATTTTCCAGATTCTACAACTACAGTTTCTCAGAATCTGGATAAAAAGTTGGATTGTTTGGGGGAGCTTCTGGACCTTCTGGGCCATAGTCCAGAAGCTCTCCCGCTGCCTTCTCCTGTTTGTGAAGCATGTAGGGGCCACCGTTGCGGTTGCTAGCTAGGAGCTCCTAAGGCACAGTCTGAGCATTGCCTCCACCTTCTCGTCTTCCCATCCCCACGACTTCGCCCTAAGGTGTCATCACCACCTTCGTGCGAGCTCTTCCACCAACGCCTCCCTGTGAGCTCTACCTCCGTATTCGCTGCAGCTGTGGCGAGGGCGCTGTTGGGCATGGCCAGGGTGCGCTTGCGCGATGGCGAAGGAGAAGGCCTGCTGGCGGCGGTAGCATCAACAGCTAGCCAAGCTCATGGAGCTCCCTCCCTCCCCTCCCAATTCCAATTGGCCCTCGCCGCCTCCGCTCACCGAGAGAGGGCAGCGAAGGGGGAGAGGAAAAAGAGCAGTGATGACAACTGGGCCCTAATTTGCAAAATGATTACACGACATATAGATCACCCATCCAACACTAGACGATTTGATTTCCTCCAACCAAACAACATAGTGTTGACGGTTGTTAGCGATCAGTTTCGCCCATCAATATTATTAAAATAAAGGAAAACTAGTTATGCTTACAATGCATATTCATGTCAAAATAAAATATATTCCATTAGCACTAGGTTTTCTAACCTTTTGGAGAGAATGATCATAAATGAAGGATAAGTGACAGCAAAACATACGATCAATCAATCAGACACTATCAAGAAACAGACTTATGGACAAATGGGTTGAGAACACCATTTTCACAAGATCCAACAAGCCCAAAATTCACAAGTTTGCGGAGAGGAGCAAACGGGGAGGCCACCTGCCAAGAACTGGGCTGGTTGGGCCAGCCTAGGGTTCGGCCGAACCAGCCGCAGCGCCGATGGATGCAGGGTTTCGCTGGATGGTTGGGATTGATCCCCAATGACAGTTGGAGGGTATTACTGACCTTTCTAACCGTCATAACCGTCATTACCAGCCTATATAAACCCCTCACTCCCTCCATTTCTTCACACACCTCAAGCAAGAAGAATCAAGCTTTCTCTCTAGTTTAGTAGTGCTCTCAAGCTAGTGGAGTAGGAATAAAATAGGAGTCTTAGTCCGAGAAGTCTTCGGAGGAATTCGGGTATGACTCTAGTAGCTTTACTTTCTTTTGTAATACTTATACTTTTATTAGAATATTCTTCTTTATACTACTCTCGTAGAATATATGAGTACCAACTTTATCATACATTCAAACTATATTGATTATGATGCTAGCTTATCTGGTAAATGCAATGGTGTGGGTATAATGATCGTGCATACCATTGTTCTATGTCATGACGATGATATTAGAGTAGTATTTCGTAATTTAAGCGTGGTGTTTAGATTACTGGATATCGTTATTTGGGGTTATATACTGCGAATACGTTGAGGTGGGCCGCTGATGGTGACAGCTCAATACGGGTATTCCTCCGCGCGTGTATATAGTCCTAAGTTACTTTCCTGGGGAGGGTACTCCTCCGTATTTAGCCCCGGTTAGATGGTCAGGGCGGATTATCATAAGAAACTCGACAATCAGGGGTGACTTCTCGAAGCACCAAGAGGGCATTGGAAAGAGAGTGTTAGCTAAGTAATCATATAACTTTACTTGGATGTATGTATATTAGAAGTATAGGAATAGATTCTTTCTATTCTCTTCGCACTTAGCTTAGATAATTTATTATGAGAGTATATAATTCTCTTGTTGTGTGTCATTCTACCCTATTCATAATCTTAACACCTGTTTCCCTCTAAAAAAAAAAATCTTAACACCTGCTTAGACTTTGATTATTACAAGTAATATATAAATTATTAGTATAGTTCTCTCTATTATAATCTTCCCATGGGATTAAATAAATACGATACCCTTGTGTTAACGACCAAAATTCATAAATCATAGATTGGATCCGATGTCAGAACCGAAACGGATTTGGAGAAGATCTGTAGCCTCAGAAACAGAACCCGCATCGGCTACGAGTTGTATCGGCTACCGCCTTCATCGGCTGTTACCAGATCAGACAAGGAGGAGCCGATGTAGCCGATCCTGGCAAGACAATCATGGGATCATTACCGACGGCAGTTCAAGTGCCGTGCAAGTATTGCCAAGCATGGATTGTGGCCAGAGAAAGCAATTGAATCTATTAATTAGGATATTCTAGTAGTTTCATTATAGATATTTTCGGTAAGAGTCCGCCTGAGGGACTTGTTCGTATTTTTGAGTTGTAATAGAGATAGAGTCGTGTTCGGCAAGGACATATCATGTATTTTGGGTATAAATATGACCCGGGACCCTGTAAATAAACAATATCAGTTCAATAACATTTTCGGCGCATCGCCACCATTTTCTATTTTCATTGTTTCGACGAGTTCTTGCTTTCGAGTTGGGCTGCATCGGTTTCGATCTCCGACGAAAAGGTAAAGCTTGTTATGGCAGCTTGCGTTCTTGGGATTAGTGCTTACATCTTTATGACACCAGGCAATCAGGGGTGGCTTCTCGAAGCACCAGGAGGGTATTGGAAAGAGGGTATTAGCTAAGTAATCATATAACTTGGATGTATGTATAATATGTATGTATATTAGAAGTATAGGAATAGATTCGTTCTATTCTCTTCCCACTTAGCTTAGATAATTTATCATGAGAGTATATAATTCTCTTGTTGCGTGTCATTCTACCCTATTCATAATCTTAACCCCTGCTTAGACTTTGATTATTACAAGTAATATATAAATTATTAGTATAGTTCTCTCTATTATAATCTTCCCACGGGATTAAATAAATACGATACCCTTGGAATATTCTCGGATAAAATGCTACAATGGTATATCCGTGCGCATGTGGATGAAGTCTATAACCATAATATACCAAGAGTGTTTCTACACCATTTCTGGGAATTATATTTCTAGTAATGTCGTTAAGAAATACAACACATAGTAGCTTAGATCTTCAAGACTTGCACACAGACTATTATCAAGTACTGATTAAGAAAACCAACTTTAGAGCTGACCTCATGCAAATTGCGAGAATACCACTACAAGAAATTTGGCCTTCTATGACAAATTTCATATGACAAAACACATTTTAGTCACAGTATTGATGCGTTTATGACAATTTTTCTTTGGATGACAAGCGTTTGTGACTAAGTTATAATTTAGTCATAAACAAATGTCACCATGTGCCTTTCCCATTCTTTGTGACAATAGTTCAAGACAAAAGCTCAAAAACAAGGTGAGGAGATTGAGAACCTAAAGAAGGCAATAATAGATACTCAGAAGGCAGCAGCAGATACTCAAAACCTCATTCGAGAGATGATAGCATTTGAACAGACTCAGGTCACTCATCAGACCACTCCTCCTTGACTTGGCTGCGCTTAGGTACACATCTTCATCTTGTAATATGCTTCTTCTGACATAATGCAGTTTCTATTTCTTGTTCTTAGACCTCTCATTTTTTTTGATACTATCAGTAGTATTGTATGATATAGTTAGATACTGGAATCAAATGAACTTAGGTACTGTTTGGAATCAAAATCTCTACTACAATGACTTTCTATAGTTCCAGGACTCATGAGGCTGAATAAATAAAACCATTGGCAAATATAATTTCCGAAAGGTTGCTGCTCCTAGGGACTACTAGATTCTTGAGCTTGTGTTTATTTCTTACAAGTGTTACCTCCTAAAACACTGTTCTTTGCAGGCTGTTGGACTCATTTTGGTGATCTGTGAATGGAGTTTGGTGTGACTGTGACTGGAGTTTGACACCACGTGTTTTGCTTTTGGCATGACTGGACTGGAGTGTGGTTGTTTCTGTTAGTGATCTCGTGATGACAAAAACTTTGTGTATGCTATTGTTGCCATGACTGAAACTCTAAGTGGAGTGGTTGCTGCAGTTGGTGAACGGGCGATGATTGGAAGTTGCCATTTGCTGTTGCCTTGACTAGAATGATTTTGATGGATTTATGTTTGGTATTATTTATTAGTGACTTGGTGATCTGTTGGACTTGTAGGACTTTGATGGACGTATTTTGTTGTGATTCATTTGTATGGATGGTGAATGTTTGGAACTATGTGTGTACAATTATATGGCTGTATGAACCATTAATTTTGGAGGACATGATCTATTTGGATGTCTAATTATTTTTGTTATAAAATTGTAAGTTGTTTATTACTTATGATGATTCCTTAAATGAGCTTGGGCTACAATATCAGCAGTAAAATGGGCGGCTGAAATAGTACTGGGCTTACATGAAAAAAATAAAAAGGCTGTTGAGAAATGGGCCAAAATTGGTTGGCTGGCCCATAGGCTAGTTAGGCTTATTTGATTTATAATTTTAAAACCAGCTCATGTTATAAATGGGCCAAATTTGTTTTTGTGACAATTATTTTTGTCATACTCCACATGCCATGTCACACGCCACGTCATATGCCACATCAGATGACTAGACACTTGTCAGCATCCCATCTAATGTATTATGACAAATATAGTGACAAATACCATTGTCATAGACCAGTGACAAGCATGCAATTGTCACTATGATTAATGACAATTGGGTTTATTAGTCATAGAAGGAGGATAATGACAGGGATTCAATGACTATAGTTATTTTGTCACTAGTGTGTCATAGAAAGGGTACAATGACAATTAATTAGTCATAGAAGGCCTAAGCTCTTGTAGAGTTGTGATGGCTAGCTATTGTTTTTAGGGTTAATTGGATCCATGCCACTACAAATATGCCAAATTAGAAAAAATCACTACTATTCGCGATATCGGCTGGGTGCCACTAAAATTTAGGGAAATTGGATCCATGCCACTCCATCGCGTTTTCCATCCACTCCCCATCATGTCTCTCTCTCCCTCTCACACCTATAGTATATACATGGTGTCGGTTTTATTTTGTTTTTTATCTTTTGAAGGAGAAAAGCACTATAAGTGCCGGTTTTAGCTATTCCGGCAACAATAATGCCGACTTGTATGCGTCTTTTTTAATAGTGTTTTGAAAAATGAATCTATATGATTTTTTTAAGCAACTTGTTTTTTAAAAAACGTACCGTTTAACATTTTGAAAAGCGTGCGCGCGGATAAAGAGGAGAGTGGATTCCCTCTAGGTGTCGAACTCTAGGGGAGTGTGGATCGTCATGGAGATCGTCGGGCCTGATAACCTGATGTAGTTGATGATGTTGTAGCTTTGCCAATTGCCAGTAGTTTGATCTTTGGGTGCTGCAGCGCTGTGTAGGATAACAATTAACAGTACATAGTGAGTAGTATGTTTATCAGCGCAATCTCTTCTAGACTTGCACACAAACTATTATATATCAAGTATCATTAAAAAAAACACTTTAGAGCTGACCTTATGCAAATTGCGCGAGTGGCTTGTGTTTTTATCAGTCCACTTTACAGCTGATTATTAACCTTCATACACATTGCAGGATTGACTCGTATTAATCTTATTTGAGTTGGTGGTGTTTGGTGGTTAGAACCTCCCTAGAATCGATGCGTGTGCCTCGGAAGCTGGGTTTTAGACTTCTGTATATATTTTATATTTCTGGAGTATATATAATACACGTCCCGGCAATAATTTTTACTCGATAAAAAAAATCCCAATTTGCACCATCATCTACTTATAAATGAAAATCCATGGATTTCTACGTGCTACATCGATCAGCTCGCAGAGAGTTGCAGGCTAAAGCATAGAGAATCGAGAATGTGCATCGTGGTGACCAAGTCGCCGCCGGAGATCGTCCGGCCATCGGAGCCGGTGACGACGACGGCGGCGACCGGCAAGATCATTTTCTCGCCTTTCGACAAGCCTCTTGCCACCGTACCGGTGGTAGTGTTGCAGGTGTTCGAGCATCCGATCCATGAGCCCGTGGAGACCATCAGGAGGGGCCTCTCCCATGCACTGGTCCACTACTACCCTCTCGCCGGCCGCCTCGCCGGTGACGATTACGACGACGTGCACATCGACTGCACCGGCGAAGGCGTGACCATCGTCGCCGCGTCTGCCAACTGCACCGTCAAGCAGCTCATGCGCGACATCGACGGCCGATTACCTGACCCCTCAACGGCGGTTCAACGGGAGCTCATCGTGGACGACAACCCGGCCTACGGCTTCGGCCGCGCTGACCCTCTCATTCTGATGCAGGTCACCACCTTCACCTGCGGTGGCTTCGTCATCGGGGTGACATGGAACCATGGCGCGGCTGACGGTTTCGGGATCGCGCAGTTCCTGCAAGCCGTCGGTGAGCTCGCCCGCGGGCTGCCGACCACGTCCGTCATACCAGTCAGGTCGGACAAGTCGTTACAGGCCATGTCTTCTTCCACCGTCATGGCCGCCAAGCAATTCATGTTCGGCGTCAAGCCGACGACGCTCGCCCTGCACAGCATCACCATCCCTGCGAGGGTGATCAACGGCGTCCGAGGTCCGACTCCGACGTGCACCGTGTTCGAGGCGGTGGCGGCCGTGATGTGGCGCTGCCGCACCCGCGTGGTGATGTCCGACCCCGACGCCCCCACCGTGCTCGCCATCACGGTGAACTCTCGCAAGTACGTGGGCGTCAAGGACGGGTACTACGGCAACTGCGCCACCATGCAGATGGCCGTGGCGAGGAGCGGCGTGGTGGCGGACGGCGATATGATGGAGGTGGTGAGGACGATAAGGCGCGCTAAGGAGGAGATACCGGAGCGGTTGAAGAAGGGAGACGCCATCGCCGAGCTCAGCAAGGGGCAGCTGAGTGGGTACGAGAGCGTGCTGCTGGTGACGTGCTGGCGAAACATCGGCTTCGAGGCGGTGGATTTCGGCGGCGGGAGGACGGCGAGGGTGATGACGACGTACGAGCAGAGTGGGGTGCGGCCGCTGTGCGTGGTTTGTCTGCCATGGCAAGGGGAGGAAGATGAAGGAGCCAGGGTGCTGTCCGGCTGTGTAACGCCTCACCATGCCGATGCTTTTCTCCGTGAAATAGCTACGCTCTGATCTCGATCGATCTCCAAATATGTACTTTATAATGCACTTATATATGTGCCACCATATAATAATTTTATCAACTTTGTTACACATGCTGTTAATTAATTAATCGTGTTGTTAATTATTTGCTACTTAAGTAATTCATTTCATTCGTGGAACTTACATGCACACGATGTTGGTATATTTATATCGATGGTCATAAGACCCGAGGCCCAACGGGGGTCGTGCCCGTGCTGGCCCGGCCCGATCACCGGGCCGTGCCTGGGCTTCCCCACCGGTACGCTGGCCGCGCAGGCTAGGCCCGGCACACAAATAATGAGTAAAAATAGACCTATTATATGTCACGGTCTAAAGAAAAGAGACGTAAAATAGACTTATTTTAGCTGTATATATGTACATATACATACACACACCACACACACACACACACACACACACACATATATATATATATATATATATATATATATATATATATATATATATATATATATATATATATATATATATATGTCACAGAGGAGGGAAGAAAAATAAACTTATTTTAAAAAAGTCACGATAAGCCACCCGTGCCTTTAGGCCGGCATGGCATGACCTGACTATTGGTGGGCCGTGCCTGGGCCGGAGGTGCAGCCCATGGGCCGGCATAGCCCGGCACAAAGTGCCGACCGAGCCGTACCGGCCCAATCGCTGGTGGGCCATGCCTAGCTATGCTTGGGCCGGGCGCAGTGGCGGATCTAGAAAATCGATTCGTTGGTGTCATAACGTGTCTATCAGTGTCATAGTATACTAATTACACTTAGATTATGGTGTTATAGCATATGGATAAGCAGCTTTGCTATATGTTTTGTCGAAAATCATTGGTGTCGCCTGACACCGACCCTGTTACTGTAGCTCTGCCCCTGGCCGGGCGGGCCTTATGGCCATCTATACTCTAGGACGGTTCAGGTCATGCATGATTTCTGCACCAATCTTTTTTTTAAAACTATTTATCAACCTATCTTCTCCTATTTTCCTCCCTACGGTACTATACATGAACAAGCTCACCCGGTCGCCTCCCCACCGACAAGTGACGCATCCCCGCCCCAATGTGGGGTTCGCATCCCCTGCCTTTGAAGCCGACGTCACAGTTTGCCGTTGCTTCTATCCTGCCCATTCATCTTTAAATCAATGGATGCATGTCTTTCTCCCACGTCATGGACAAATAACAGTCAATTAATTGATACAATCAGTTGTGTTAATTAGATCGATTTAAAACACAACTAATCATTAGCATTGCTAAATATATTTATATAAAAAAAGCCTTACAATACTTTTACGAATAAAGTTCTCAACATTTGATTTGACTATAAGAATTATAGAAAAAATATACTCATGTACAACTGAAACATTTTTTTTCCTAAATAAATGTTAGCGAGACAGTTGTGGGTTGTTTAATATGGAGGTGGGATAATTATTTTCTTCATGTTTCTAAATGAGTGGATATCAAATATATATTTTTTTTTGCTGTCTTTTTTTCCTGGTTTACCGGCCGCTTGAGATTGTTTTCTTCAATTTCTCTAATTAAATGCTGCTAGTTAGTCACGATTGATGGAAGCGGTTGATTGAATGAGGGATGGCGTGGATGAAAGCAAAGGCAAACTTTGCCTTTTGCCACAAAGGCAGAGGATGCGAACCCCCCAATGTGCCACCCCAAGTTGGACAGGTACCAAAAACTGCCAATGGCCCTTGCAAGCCCCGAAAACTGCCAACGGCGCCGGAAATCCCCGCTAGAAGAGATTCCTCCCTCCTACTATATCGTTACAACGCTGTCTTCCCTACGAAAATATAAATACGATACTCTTTAGAATACTCACGGGTAAAATGCTACAGCGGTATCCGTGCGTTTACGGATTTATCTATGTACGTATTAAGAAGGGAAATGTTTGTAAAATAACCAAATAATCTACTCATCTCAGCGTTTGTCTTCTTCAAATTAATGGTTGATGTATCAATTAGAATATATTGAAGAGTTTTAAATCTATAAAGTTTCTTAACACTCATAAGGTTCATCCATAATATGACAACATCAAAAAGCAAATTGGCATCACCGCACCCACACTGTGCAAAAATTTATATTAAGGCCAAGAAGCTCAGATCAATCAATTGTAGCAACATAGGAGAAAGAATAAATGAACATTATGTGTTACACTTGGAATCGTCCTTTGCCAACGATGAAAACATCACCTCTTCATCAAACCCATGGCATTTGTTCTTTGCATATTACCAACGAAACAAACGCTGCAAGTGAAATTTCAGTGGCAATGTTAACTTTATGAAATCAAAGAATAGGAAGGGAAAACTTTTTTTGAGCATAAATATTTAGTAGATGAGTTCATAAAGAGAACAAGCAACACAAATTATTTGGTGGAAATCTCGTATATTTTAGTGCATGGGTCAGTGACAAGGGGAAAAATGTTTAGTAATTAAGGGTCACAACAATACTACAGCAAAAGGATGCCTTTTACTTTCCCTTTTTTTGGGTTACCTTGCTTTTCTTCTTCTTTTTCTTCTCAATGTATGCCATGATCTCCTCTTGTCGCTCAAGAGTCTCCTGCAAGGCCTAAAAGAACATATAACAGGCGTGTTTTAGAAATGGTTTAGTAAGAATAGTAGAACAACATATAATTTGTTAGTCTCAACACATTTAATAATACCGATCTATGGGATTAAGATGTATACACAGGAATTAAAACATAAACTTTGGTAATGTAATAATAATGTTCTTATCATCAGTAAGGTGCAAACAAACTCACCTTCTTGGTCGCGGCAAGCTCCTCCTCCAATGCACTAACACGGCTGACGGCAGTCTTTAGCATCTCCTCCTTATCAGCTGGCATTTCTGCAGGCTTGGTGAGAATCGCAATGACCTTCTCCTCGATATCAGATAGGCGCTTTGTAGAAGAAGCATATTCAGCTGCTGACACAGCCTCCATTGATATCTTGGATAGCTGTTGTGCTTGGATTTTGGATGTACTTTGTGCCCCAAGGGTAGCACCAAGTACCTTCTTTGGCATGTTGCGGCTAACACGGAGCATTGTTGCAATGCTCATGACAAGAGCCATGACACCCCCAAAGAGTGGAGGGTTGGATCCGTTAGAGGCATTTACAATGGCTACAAGAAAAGGATTGTCCAATCTGTCAGTTAAAGACTAACAAAAGAGTAATAATATTAGGTCACAAGATTGTTTAATGGTTAACCTTTGGTTATTGCGACATTCTCATCTCGTGATCCCTTACTCTGGCAAATGGCATCTATGGCCTTCTCTACCATTGGAACATCACAAGAATAAGGTGATCCTGGGGTCTGCATTACAAAAACTCCTTCTATATTAGGACTAAGCTTAGGAATTTATAAAAGAAATATGTGAACCAATACACCACAAGAATGAAAATTTATATGATGACTAATCTTGGGAAAAATTGAGGTTTTACAGTTTCCCTGGAAATGAAATATCATCATGAAGTTACTTGTTCGTGCTTATCAACTGCATTATCAAGTGACGAACCCGCTTAAGCTTATAAGTTAAGACTCATTTTTTTTCATTCTGGTGTTTCATCCACAAGGCATGAGAAATCCTTTTAGCCGTATGGTTCAACACTAACTACAATTTTGTTTGCGCAAAGAAAAAACACTACAAATTTGTTAAAGTACAAAGATGTCATTGTTAGTAGGACAATAGTGGCATTTCTTTTTCTAGAACAATAGTGGAAATTCATCGGAGATAAAGCGTAACTCACAGGAAGCATCATAGGAGGAAGTTCCTCACAAACAGGCGACAGTGTAGGATGTTCAATTCGGGCACGAGATATTTTTCTTGACAAAGTGCGCCCTTCATCTTTGAAAGACTCCTGCTTCTTTATTTTACACAAATAAAATAACAGATGTCTAAGTATTATGATCCAATGCATTTAGAAATACTTAAATATGAATGTGTTACTGCAAAGAGCGGGTAATATCTTTGCTACCTTGGTGTACATGGTGTCATCTTCACAAATCATCATTTTCTCCTCAGCCTCTAGATGATTCAAATTGAGATTTCCACACCACCCAACCCCGCTTTGAACCATCTAAACATAATATAGCATAGAAATTTTGAGTTCCTTTTCCCTTATCAACTGTAATTTAAGAATTTGTTCAAGGATAAAGGATCAGATTGGAGCAGTCACCTTCATGACTTCATCATCCTTCCAGGGGCCCTTGTCAGCCTTCATACAACCACCTTCACATTGGCAAGTTCCACCAAAAAACTCCGGCAGCTCACTGGACAACGGAAATTAATAACATTAAAATGGTGAACATTGTCTTCAAATATGATGGTTAACTTAGAGCATCGGGTGTTCTACCTAGCATCAATCACCTCAAGAAGCTTGCTCTGGTACTTGTTGCCCAACACCTAAAGAAATGCACAGAAGTCACAGATTATCAATAATCAATCTTCAAGTTGAGCACTCCTAGACAATGTATTGGAAGAACACTAACATGAATCTTTGCTGTGGTCTTTGGGTCAAGGAAACTCTTCACTGTGCTCCAAAGAAGTCGGAATCCCGGCCCAGCATTAATGATGAACATTCGACACAGTGTCTAGGCAAACAATTACATGAAGTAAGAATATTAATAAATCTAGTACAAATTTTTGCAGAATTACAACCAATATATTTTACATTGAGGGCATTACCTCAGGGTAGTTATCACCATCAATCTTTTGAAGCTGACCAATAAGGTCTCTTGCAGCTTTGCTGAATTGTTTCATCCCCTAAAAATGCATTTTTCTCTTAGATTATAAATAGTAAAAGTGCAATAATTTAATGAATTATCCAAATATCGCACATACATACCACCCCTTGCACATCAAGAATTGTTGTGCTCTGATCAATGTGGCACTTGGTAGCAATTGAGCAAGCTGGGAACTTAACAGCAAAGTTCTTCTCAAACTCCCTAACATGGTTCTTGATAAAACGATCCATTGTGGTGACCTGCATTAGCCTATTGACATCGATCTGTCCAAGTCGTTCAATGTAGACAGGCCTTCCTTCCTTATCAACCCCATGATAACCTTGAGGATAGCATTCTGCCACCTTGCCAGCTTCTTCAAATTCAAAATCCTGAGATAGAATTTGATGAAAAATGTGTCAACTGCTTATAAACAAAGGTATGTATCAACCATAAAAGGATTAGTCCAAATATAGTTTAACCTTAACCTATTTGATAGATGCAATTACCTCAAGAATGGTATCTGCACCAAATTCCTTTCTCCACCGCAACATGTCAGCCCACATTTGCTTTGCCTTCTCAACATCAAACTTTCTTGCCTTCAAAAACCTGTGTAATCTCGAATTTTAGTAATACTTGTTTTCACATTTGAAACTAAATAACAACATGAAGTGCTATTTTCAGATTATACACCTTAGCATCATGTGGTAATCATCATGCTGAGATGGTAGCAACTCTTCAAGTATAAGGAGCTGACGGAAGGCATCTACAGCCTGCACCTCTTCAGGATCACGTTCATCGGCAATTGAGATGGACATGACCTTGCTACTCCTCCTCCCCTTCTTCATTGAATGCCTTAATTTTTGTGAAGAACTCATTGCCTTCTTCTTCAGTGACATGATTTTGGCTTTCTTCTCATCCTCTGAGTATTCAACATTGGATTTCCTCTTCTCTTCATAGTGACCGTCTAAGGTTGCTGACACATCGTGTATGTTAGTCAGTCATGTATATTGTAATATACCAAATTCTAAATATTTTCTGAACAGTTAAGTTAGAAATTAATTCTGTGATAGTGAAGTAGAAGAATGTCATTGGGGAAAAGGCATACACTTCATCTGAAAATAATGTTTATACTTTGAGACATAAGGGAATATAATGAGTTTTTAATAAAAAAAAAGATAGTATTAGAGCTTAATAATCCACTTTAAACAATAAGAAATGGTTGTGACCATTATTTGCTTTACTTACCAGAGCTTAGACGGTGTTCGAGCGGTCTCGACAGGACTTCTGTCATGACTGTTCCGCCCTATCTAGACCTGAATAATAATGCATGTTATTATTTGCTTATATCACAGGCTATGTCTCAATATATAATAAAGGAGAAAACGAACAATTTCCTGAATATCTTGATATCCTAAAGTATTGCTTGGCAGTATGATGCAGTGTAAAATAATCAGTTTGCAAGGAGTTTTTTAATGCTTTCAGCAGTGGGCATGTTAGACACTAATTGGCCTCATCTCAAGGTAATATATCATAGTCCATCAGTATAATTATAAGTTTAGTAGCATTTGTTCCTTTTTCCAAATTAATGAAAAGATTATAAATTACACATAAATTAATGATAACATTGAGATACCAGATGATGAAAACCTACAGGAGCCTGAAATTGCACTAGAAGACACAAATTAAACGCATTAATTTACAACCATGCCCAAAATTCACATGAACACTTGAATAACAGAAAATAAAATAAATTTCGCTCAAAAATAGCAGGAAATCAATCTAAGGGGAAGATAGGTGTTATGATCCGGAACAATTTGAATAATGCTAAGTCATGACATGCAACACAACCAGAAGCATCAAAAATCAAATGAAGAAATTATAAAGGCCTAGAAAACCACAATGAACCAAGAATGTACCAAAAATCCTGGATCCCCTTCAATTTCAAAAAAAAATAATCCTAGATCCCCTTGACAATCCCTGGCCAGCCACCCAAAGAATCCAAAATATAAACAAGCGACAGCCTTCGACTATAAAATGTTTGGAGTAAGGTGGAAGACAAGCTAGGTGTCGATTTCCTGGTGCTAAATGATGAATGCAACAACTATAAATGTTTGCCTTTTGGTTGTTGGACAGACTTATGGATCAAGCATACCATGTAACACCTACAGTCTTTGTGACTCTATGTAGCTTATGGGCTGCTCGAAATGATCGACGCCATGCTCAGATGCCAGAGAATCCAACATGAGTAGCTGTGAGAATTGTGGCACACATAGAGGAATAAGCGAATGTCCAAGAAAATAAGATGGGCACTGTAGCCCGTCTGACAAAGTATTGGGAAAACCAGAAGAGGGGTGGGTGAAAGTGAATACGGATGAAACTTTCTTAGGAAATGAAAATAGAGGGGCTGCAGCTGTGGTAATGAGAGATGATTAGGGAGATTTTATGGTGGCAGCTGCTGCTCGTGTTTACAGAGCAATCGGGGATACGACGTGCGCAAAAATCTTTGCGTGTAAGCGAGTGATTGGGTTGGGCAGCAGAGTTGCAAAGTTGGTAATTGAGATATATTGATTTATTGGAGGTTGTCAAGATTATGAAACAAAGGGAGTTCAACAGGTTGGTCCATGGAGTGATGATTCAAAATCTCAAAGCCATTTTGATGGACTTCCAGGATTTGAACCTGCGGTGGGTATGTCGTTTGGCAAACATAGTAGCACACAGACTAGCGAAAGAAGGTGTTTCGAAAAATTGTATCTCGACTTAGGTTTCGGTCCCCCTCCCCCTCCCCGTTTTATTTCTTATTTATTAGTAGATGACTGTAAAAGTCCGAGTGACTAGTTTTGGTGTGTTACCCTCAAAGAAAACAAACTGGGATAACAATATAGCATGATTGTTTATTTTGGAACAAAATAATTAAAAAACATTTTGAAAACAAAATCAATTTTCTTGAAAAACAGAAAACAAAATGATTCCAAAAACAGGTGTAAAAACATAATATTTACACGGTAAAAATTCAAAGTTACAAGATCATCGTATTTACAGTGTAAATTCAGTTGGGAAAAAAATCCATTCATAAAGCCAATAGGAGTTATTTTTTTAAGTAATGAACAAAAAGTAACTACGCTCTAGCTAATAATCATATTTATATCAATTTGACTTCATTAATGTGTTAGATAGATCTCCCACCCGTCGGACTCAACGGCACAACGGACCTTGACCGTGCCCAGCCCATTGGCTGGTGGGCCCCTGTCACCCTGCGCCATATAAAACAGAGGGTGGAGACCGGGGCGGCACAAGACACGAGGTTCGCTGCCGCCGCCAACTCCACCCACAAACCCTAATCACTAACAATCATATTCATATCTCTAATCACTATACTGTTACTTGATGGTTCCTCATAAGCCAAAAAAAGATGTGCATAAATCTATATATAGGTGCCAGGTGAGCCTCTCTCTCGGAGGTATGTGTCTCTCATCATAAAGTCTCTCTGAGTTTGGACTACGGCTCTACGAGCAGCGGGCGAACGGCGAAAGAGAAGAAATCCATACAAACTAACGCTTGCACAAATCTGAAAGGAAATCCAAGGGGCTAAACAAACGAAGAAGATTTGTGGACACAATTATAACAAAATCGATAATAACAAGTGCAGAGATGGTCTCCTATATATTTTCCTGAGCATGTACATTGTCAGGTGGGAACAAGGGTTAACGAACGCAAGCGAATTCCAGATCCCCAGAAAGAGAAAGAGAGAGAGAGAGATGAATCAGAAAGAAAGAGGATGTGGATGCTCACCAGGATCCCCTGCTCTCCCCTGCTCTGCTCGATGGAGATCGGCGGCGGCCCTCCCCTGTTGAGCCGCGACTCGTCTTGGCGCTAGGAGCGGAGGAGACGACGAGACGGGAGGATATACTAAATAAGTAGGGGGTTTTCCTTTGGTTTCCTAGTGCGCGCCCACGAGTAGGCGCCAGAGAAATAAGTGGCGCGCACGAAGGAGCCTCTCTCCGACTCCATTTGCTCCTGTGGGTTTGTTTGTGCCTTCAGTCTTTTCTCCTGGATTCTTCATATCGTTTGTTGATTTAAACACAGAAATCAAAATCAAGATTTCATATAAGAGTTAAAAGTATTTACAGTTTAAGTTAGAAGTTTTTAAATTTTCAATTGAAAGTTTTGAATTTAACTTGAAATTTTTAAAATTTAAGTCGAATATTTTTCAAATTTGATTCCAAAGTTTAAAATTTGGCTTGAAAATTTTCAGATTTGAGTTGAAAGTTTTAAACCGTGAGTTAAAAAATTTTAATTTGGAGTTAAAAGTTTCAAATTTTAGGTAGAGTTTTTTTTAAAAAAATATATTTGAAAGTCTTAAATTTAGTTTGAAAAGTTTTATAAGGAAAGAAAGCGGAGAAAAGTGGATAGTGCTCATAACACGACTTAATTATTGCAAAAGAAAAGAAAATAACGAAACTAATCACGTAATATGTACTTAAATACTCCCTCCATTCTAAAATATAAGTATTTTTAGCTATTAATCTGGATAACTATGTGTCCAGATTCATAGCAAAAAATTGCTATATTTTGATACGGAGGTAGTAGATCGCTAACCACGGGTTTTAGTTCTTTGATTCAAACGCTGAGCCGGACAGCACCGCAGGCTGGCTGGCTTGAAAATTTAACGTTTAATATTATGTCGTTATTTGGATATTTAAATGCATATATACGACTATATCTTGACATTATCTCAAAATATAAATTCTCACACTCACGCTTATATACTAAATAGTGAAAATATTAAAAAATATACAAACGTAGACGCTCACAACACGCATGCATACTCACTCATATAAATGCCCACACATCCTGCTCCTATGAGCACATTTGAAAGATAGGCCAACAAATCTTAAATTGATGAAGTCACTATAGGTGTCTCGCTGCCAGCGGGTATGTCGTTGATCACCGAAGAAATTAGCTAAATGCGAGAACTTATGTCAAATCTAGAACTTTAATCCGGTGGGCTAGTTCCACCACACGAAACGTAACCAATTGAGGTACGTTCACTTCGTACCAAATAGTGAAGCGAAAGTTTGGTTCATATTAGATAGATAAAACAAAAAAAAGAGGTAACAGAACATAAAACATGTTCAACAAGATCTAGAAGATAAATTTGTTACTTTGTATCATCGTCAAGTGCAACATATGGACAATTAAACGTAAAACGGTCGACTAAATGCTAAAAGCGAAGTTTTTATGTTCATAAACAATTTTCCCACCGTATTTGTATATGTAGTCTACTTTTTTTTTTTACCAAAATATGTGGTCGACTTAAAGGCTGCTAAGGCCCTTTTTCACGGCACTTTTACTTATGGTTGGAACTTACCCATCTGATTCAACTACTAGACGCATGAGTGCAATTATTCCTTCAGTAACGTATCTATCAACAATAAGATGTCTACGATGATCGACTTCATCAATCTCAAAATATATCGGCCCAGTTTTTGAAAGATACTAGGTGATACTCTGCGTTTTGCTGCGGGATTCATGTATGAGTATACGTTAAAGGAATAAGCCCACTTTGAATTTGCTGCGGGATTTATGTATGAGTATATGTTAAAGGAATAAGTCCACTTTGACTCCCTTAAAAATGACCCGAATCTAATCCATGGCCCTAAACCGTAAAACCGGATATCTTGACCCCCGAACTATTGAAATCAGTGCAATTTGACTCCCTTGTGGTTTTGGAGGGTGGTTTCGCTGACGTGGCGCTGACGTGGCGGTGTTACCTAGTATGTGGGGTTGACGTGGCGCTTAACTGGCATTTGAATTAAAAACATATATATGGGACCCGTTTGTCATTCACACATATTAAAAAAAATTGTGGGGCCCACTGACATGTGGACCCCACATGTCATCCTCTCTCTTTCTTCTTCCTCTCTTATCTCTTTCTTTCTCTTTCTGTTCTCTCTCCTACGGCCGGCCGCGGGGAGCACGGGCTGGAGCTAACAAACTGCGCGTCGGAGCTAAGAACCGATTCGATCGTCGGATTCCGCCGGATCTAACGAACTGCACGTCGCTGCAGTTCTTGGACATGAGCACCAACACGTTAGGCGGCAACATGCAGGAGATTCTTGGCAAGTTCGTGGCGTTGAAATACCTCGTGTTGCATCACAACGACTACACCGGCAGCATCGTCTCCTCCAACGTGCTCCGGCTGCCGCTGCTCGCAAGGCTCGACCTCAGCTTCAACCAGTTCTCCGGCGAGCTCCCTCTCGAGGTGGTCAACATGAAGAGCCTCAAGTATGTGATGCTCCTGGCGAATAACTTCTCCGGTGGGATTCCGGCGACCTACCCGCCGTTCAACTTTGTGTACACGGTGATGATGCGGGAGAATTGCCGCAGCATATGGGTTCGCCTTCTCAAGGGCTACGGAATCATCCCGATTTGCACCAACTCCTCGTCGCCGGTGAGGTCCAACACGATCTCCGGCTACGTGCAGCTCTCCGGCAACAAGCTTTCCGGTGAGATACCTTCTCAGATCGGCGCAATGCGGAACCTCAGCTTGCTCCACCTCGACAACAACCAGCTCACGGGTCACTTGCCGCCGGAGATCAGCCAGTTGCCGCTCGTCGTGCTAAACGTCTCGAGCAACATCATCTCCGGCAGGATCATCACGGGCATGGTCATGTTCATCATGGCCAACCTGCGGGTGAGGTTTCCGGTGGACCAGGACCCGAACCCCGAGTCGCTCTCCTGCGAGAACCCCAAGTGCGGCGGCGGCGGCGGCAAGTGCGGCGCGTTCCATATGTCGGCTACGTCGTCACCGCCGTCCGGATGCTCGTCATCGTGCGTGACCGGGTGCTCGCGCCTCCTCCCGCCTCGGACACGCTACTCCGCCGCCGCAGGGGGCAGCATCCACGCCGGCCGCACACTCCAGCGCCTGCACGCCAGCCCTCCCGCCCCGCCGCGGCCGCTGCTCGGGCTCTCGTCGCTGCCCCTGCCCGTTGATTGCTCCACGAGAGAGAAGGTGAAGAGAAGAGGGGGAGAGAAAGAGAGGTAAGGGAGAGAGAGGGAGGAGGAAGAGGAAGATAGAGAGGATGACATGTGGGCCCCACATATTAGTGGGGCCACAATTTTTTTTTAATCATATATGGGTCCCACATATATTTTTTTAATTCTAATGCCACGTAAGCGCTACGTGGGATGAAAACTAGGTCAACATTGCCACGTCAGCGCCACATCAGCAAAACCGCCATCCAAAACCGCCGAGGGAGTCAAATTGCACTGGTTTCAATAGTTCGGGGAGTCGTCTTGAGGTTTATGGATTAGATTCGAGTCACTTTTAAGGGAGTTAAAGTGGACTTATTCCTATGTTAATTATTGTCGAAATGATGAATGTTGAAATGTTGAGAAAATAATGTGAGGAAGATGATTCGACATATAGTTGTCAATCTCTATAATATTATATTATAGATGATGTGTTATGCTTGTATGGGATTTAAAATAGGCTAGAATAGTAATTGCTAGTGAGTGAAGATGTGGCATGTTTGAATGGGTTTTTAAATGGGCTAGAATAGTAATTGCTAGTGGGTGATGACATGGCATGCTTGCATGTTGAGCTTTAGCTTCTAATAATTGTTAGTGGGCACCAACTATATAGAAAGTATATATTCGTAAAAATATGGTTTGCGGTGTACATTTATAGGGTGTATATATGCGCATGTTTGAGCGCCTACATCCTATATACCTATACAAATCATTCTCACTGCTAGAATTCTCTGCTTCCTGGTGTTTCCACGTCACCCCTTTTTGTTTCCACCGTTGGATCCGCATCGAGCGCTTCCTCCCGCATCGCTCCTCTCCTCTACCGCATCTCGCTGCTTCGCCGGCCCCACGCTCCCCTCCCCTCCTCTCCTCTGCCTCTCCCGCATCGCGCTGCTTCGCGGGCCCCATGCGCATGGACTCCCCTCTCCCGCATCTCGCGCCGCCCCCCCCCCCCCCACCGCATCCACGCCATTCCCCATCCCTCGCGCACTCTGCCACCAGCCACCGCTTCTCCAGGTGGGTCCTTCCAGCCTGTTCGCATCCTCGGTGTGGAAACCGTCATCTTTTGTAACCAGCGATTAGCATCATTAGGGCCTCCTTCCAATCTTCTTTATGTATGGCGATACGCATGACAGGGTTTGGTACTAATCCTGTACTACGATGTGTGAAAACAAGTGATCTTCAGCTTCTCCTCCAGATCCTGACAAGAACATCCGTGGATCGATCTGCTCGGCCAACAAGCAGCTTCTCCTCCCCTCCATAGAAGCATGTCTCTGGACTGATCCTCCATACAAGCACACCCCTAGATTGATCTGTCGGGCCAACAAAGAGGTTGTTCCGCTGCTTGCCGATCTCAGTTGTTAAGTGCAGGCTATTTCCCTCATCCAGCAGTAGGCATTCCAATTTCTTCACTATTCAATTATCAATTTCCAACCAATTTCAGTATCCTAGATCTGTCTGCTCCTTTTCCCCTTTACGTCAGTTTGAATTAGCATACTATAATCACTCCCTTCAATATCTTCACAGATTAATTAATTGCTTTGATTTTGCCATGGGTTTAATTGTTATTGGATTGTACTACTATTGGGGGAAATTTCTTTGATGGTAATACATAACACTAGAATCCTTTTTTATTGCTAATTATACAATTTCTATATTACGCTCCTTTGTTTTTCCCCTTTTTAATTCATTTTGTAATCATTCAGGTCACCTTTGCATCTGTCAAACAACTTTATATTTTTATGTTAGTTTTTGTATTCGATAATGTAGCGCTGGAAACTCTTTTTATCCGCAGCTCATTTGTAAACATGCATGATCTATCTCGATGACATGAAAATGACTGCAGATTATTCCCAATTTATCAAATGGTTGGTGATCCTTTAGTCAGCTGTGTGATTCAGTGAAGTAATGATTGGGATGAATTTTTTTTTATCATATGCAACACGGTGTTCTCATATAGATGTTACTTTATGATCCTTCAGACTTTGCTAATTCTTTATATAACGATCAATAATGGAAAGTTACAGTTTTTTAGGTCACTGTCTCCTTTGATTTTCATTACCAATATTATCTGACCTGGGTTCACAATTTCAGTAATAATAGTATGATCTCAAAATTCTTGAATTAATTACTGTTTATTTACCTTAAGTTTATATATATTGATTCATCTATTATGTTTATTGACCAATATTCCTGTTTGTTTTTTTAGAAATGATGGTGTTCTTGAGACTTCCATCTGTGATACACATATATAATAGGGAAGTATCGAGTATTTTCAACATTGTTCTTCTTGCCCAATAGATTTGGAACCTAAACTTTGATCAATAATAATGTGTTCTGTCTGGGAATAGTTAATCCTACAACAGTCCAGAAAATCATAATATATATACTATACAACCATTCAATTGTTGCCTCTGCGAGGAGTAACAAGCTTGCTCTATACCATTAACCTTATCCTATTAGTCAAGCATGCTTAATTGTGCTTCTGTTTCTGTCATGCACTTCAATCATGCTTAATTGTGCTTCTATTTTCTGTCAGGCACTGTCGTGGTTGTTTTACATGAGGAAGTCTCAATGCACTCAGAAGTGCAACACTGCCATAAGTTTATTTCCTTGCAAAAGTTACTAAAATATCCAGAATTTCAGAATGTATTCTGTATTGCCTTGGTTTCCCTTCTCTTAGTTCTTTTGTTTATCTCAAAGTGAACATGGATCTTTCAAATTCTATTTCAACACAAATATTCCGCAGCAACGCGCGGGGTATCATCTAGTTTCTACTATGTTTCAAAAAAAATATATATTTCATTGACAACGAAATTACTTTTGAAAAGGCCACTGCACATTTGTACCTGGTTGGCAAATAAAAAAAATTTATGAGTTTTCCTTTTTTTTTTAGAAAAGAGATTTTAAGTTTCTCAAGATAAAATTAATTTCGGTAAATGGAATCCTCAAGAATTCAGATAACCCCAGCTATCGATAAAATTAGGGGCAATTGCAAATTTACCACTACTTTGAATCGTTATTGCAAGACTGCCACTAAAAAATTGCAAAAATACCACTAGAACTATCATTCGAGTGACATCCTTGCAATATTGAAAAAAACAGTGGTAATTTGCAAATGCCCCTAAAATTAACACCATCTCACTATCTGTGTTTCCTTTATTAATGTCATGCAAGCATGTCATAAACATTCGTAGATTAAATGATCAATATATATATAATATATTGGGTTTGTTTTCTTTGATGGTACCACCGAAGAGTAACATAAAAATATAAAACGGCAAAGCATAAAAAGGGGATCAGTTCTACAGTTGACCTTAGCTTGAGTACGTGCAACAAATTAATAGTGTATACATCTGGATATTCACCAAATTATAAAATGTTGACAGCCTTCCACCATCTGTTAGCAATGAACATGCTGGCCTTATTTCCCAAATATATATCATGCCGTATCTCCTTTTCTGTTGGATTTGGTCTTCTTTTGCACAAATATATAGATTGGAGAAGATTTTATTCCCATAATGTTTGACAACCTTTTTCATGTTTACTGTGGGAGTGTTTGCTTGCCATAATCTCGTTCCAATGCATGGTGCATCTCTTTTTTTAAGACAAAAAAAATGAAGGGTGCATTATAAAGCAGGGGACAGAAGAACAGTGATTCCTTCCAAAGCATTGTACTCGACTACTCGTGTACGTGCAATCCACTTCAATAAGAAAAATGAAATCAAAAGAAAAGGACGAAACAGGTAACTTTGTTGCATCCAGTTACTTCACAATTTGCAAACGGAGAAGGAAAACAATTAACAAAACAACTCAGTACAGCCTAAACAACCATCTTCCCAAAGAATGATAGAAAGCACATTCTTGGATTCGGACATAAGAGCACTTTAATTTGTGTCTCTTTGATTCAGACTCAACCATTACATACACCACACTTAACATTTTTCTGCTAAGTGCGCACACGTAGAAGCTAGGTTCAAACCTTAAAACATAATTTTAAAAAAAAGATATTTCTTTACAAAGAAATTAAATGGAATTTTCTTATCTAGAAAGAGTCCAATATTCTACACCTATAAATACCAGACATTTGATAGCCCTAAATTAACTTTTTGGTTTTACGAATTATAAAAAGGGTAAAAGTCTAAGGTATGTTCTAAAAAGATATTGCAATACCACGTTACTATTCAGTCATGTGTTCTCTTCATCCTTTTTCATTATTTTGTTGAAAGGAACAAAAACTAGGGAAAATACACTCCATGTTGGTGCAGCAACACAAGTGGAAAGAGATAGTGTTGCTTTGGACAAGGAGGAGCCTGGAAAATACATGCACCTAGCTTCATTCAGCTTTTGACGGTAACACATGCAGTTAAATAGCTATGGAAATGTATAAAAAACTACCAATGATTATTCTTTTACTTTGCATGTGCTGATAAAAGATGATCTTTTAGCCAACGATGCATTTTAGTAATGAAGTCATGTTCTGGAGAATAACCTGAGTTTGGATGCAATTATGTGATAGTACAAGTATGATGGAGCTGGGGGCAAAAAAAATCAGGAGAACTTTTGTGTCTATGGTTAATTTTGTTTTGGCTAGATCCTGGTGAAAGCACTCCTGTTTTGGGGCAATCCTGTCAAAGTCTTACTCTTAAATTGGCAGCACTCAATGATGTATATGTCTAGCTTTCTTTTGCTATGTTGAAAGCAAAACTTGGGGGACAAAATATATTCAGGCTTTAGATGTCCAATGCAGCAACAAGGATCACATTTTAATGTTGAGTGTTCACTGTCCAAGCCTGTCAACTTTCTGCCATTGCAATCTGAAACTCTTAATCTTATTTTGTCTTAAAATGACTCAATTAACTTGTTCATGTTCTCAAATGCTCATAGAAATCAGAGTATCAAATTTTGGCAGTATTTTTATCACATTCAGTATTGAATCAGAGTCCCAATTCACATCAATTTTCGGTCTCATTTCATATCTGTACAATTCCAATCCCAATTTCTCAAACAGGTGTTGTCGCCCTCATTCAGAAAGCTATGATTGTGGTGGTGGTCGCCTCCCTCCCTTGGCAGCAACAGTCGCGCCTTTCTCCCATGCTAGTGCGGCTTCTTACTGGCATTCCTCCGACGTGGGTGGTGGTACCGCCGCCGTGGAAGCCGTTGTTGTTGAGGACGCCACCGCAGTGGAAGCTCTCGCACGGGGGAGAGGGATGGAGAGGAGGACGGCGTCAGAGGAGTCTTCGACTCCTCGGTGGTCTGCTCCTCCCACGCCCACGCCAGGGATTGCTCTTTTGTTTTTTTGGCAAGGGCGGATTGACGAGCAGCGTGCTAGCCGGATCCTATGTGGTTTACCTCAACTGCTGACACATGATCGATTTACCTCTTTGTAGAATTGTAGGTGGTTTTGACAGTAGTTTCGTCCTATGTGGTGTCTAAGTGGCACTTTGACTCGGTCTTCCACGTGATGTGGAGCATAGATGGCATTTTCCC